AAATAAAGTTCTCTGAAAATAAAGTAATCTACTGTGTAATTTGTCTCTGAACATAGGTTCCTGTGTAAGATAATAAAGTCTCCTTAGCATAAAGTATTACTGTGAGTAAATAAATAAAGTCTACATATTTATATATATATGTATTTATTTAATTATTTATGTATTTATTTATTTATTTAATTTTGGCTTAAATGGCATTCCATAGTCAATGCAATCCTACGACATTGGGGAAGAGTGCTGTCAGTCAGGGAGCAGCGAGTGCTACTTTTGATTGAGTTCATGTGTGAAAAGCTTGATTCACATGTGTATGTTGATGCAAACATACTGAGCACACAGATCGCTACTTTCTGAACGTTAGGGAACTGCTGTTTTTTGACATCACTCCAAAACTTCGCTGGCCCGTTAGTGCGCTGCATGTCAATAAGTTCCAGTGTATATTTCCCCTTGTAGATGCAGGGGAGGGGACCACTTCCTTTGCTCTGGTTGATACGTCCCCCTCTATTGCAACAGTGAAGGGGTCTCTGGCAAAGCCCATCATCACCTCTGTGGGCAGAGCAAGTCCATTCAATCGACCGGCAAAGTTCTCTTTCAACCTCGCAATGAAATCTGTCATCACATCCGTGATTTGTGCCGGAGATGTGATGTGTTTGGGGAGCGTCGGAAAATGCAGCATCCGACCCGTGCTCAAGTTGGTCGCGAAAAGGTCCAGCTTGACTTGGATCTGCTCCACAAGATCAATGACCGTTTTGTCTCTGTTTACGCTTCAGAGTTGAGAGAGACATGTTTTAGAGTTGCTATCATAGGACCACCGTTACTAGAACCACTAGATGCACTTTCAAAAAACGTGCTGCGTTGTGGTTTGGTGGTTTCTATGCAACGCGGAGTGTTGCGTTCATGGTCTGTACTAGTGTAGGAATTTGGCTACGGGAGGCTGGGCCACTCGGGAGTTGGTTCTGGGCCGCATCTGGCCTGCGGGCCGCCAGTTGAATAGGCCTGCACTAGAGCAAGAAAACGAAAATGTTACTAGAGTGTATATGGAAATAAGAGATCATCTACCTCCATCCAATGAGACAAGATGTCGTATTGATGCCTGTGAAGCAGTCACTAAAGACATTGTTAAAATAGCATATGAAAGGATAACAGGCATTGATGGAGATTTTGACAGCGAAGCAGTTAGGCAACGTCTTCGTGAGCTGCTTAACAAAGACTATGCTCGCTCTATCTACGGTTCCACAGCCACACCCTCAAGTCCACGCTCCAACTCCAGCCATCACTCTGTGTGCTCCATCGTAGCAGCCAAAAGGGCAGACGCTGCAGCAGAGTTAGCAGCGAAGGAAGCAGAGTATGAATTGCTGTTGGAAGAGGAAAAACTAAAGGAAATGATTCAACTACTAGAGGAGCAACAAAGGAGAGAACTTGAAGCTCAGAGACGTGAGTTGGAAAGATTGAAGGCAGAAAAGAATATAAGAGCTGCAAGAGCTAGACTTGTAACCTATGACCAGGAGGTAATGCAGGAACGTGTCTATTCTTCTGATATCGACCCTAGAGAACAACGTGTATTTCCACAGCAATATGTGAATACAGCTGTCATCCAGCAGCCCACTAATGTTGCAGTGACAACATCAACTCCACAGACAGATGTGACTTACTTGGCTCAAGCAGTCCAGGATAGCATTTCTCTGAACAGGCTCCCAATACCAGAGCCACCTGTATTCACTGGTGACCCGATCCATTTCATTGAGTGGAAGGCTTCATTCACATCACTCATAGACAAAAGGAACATTTTTTCAGCTGACAAACTGCACTATCTGAGAAAGTATGTAGGAGGTCCAGCCCGAAGAATACTTGATGGCATCTTCTTCAGAAGTGATGAGGAAGCCTATAAGGATGCATGGAGCCATCTCAACCAAAGGTATGGTCAGCCCTTTATTATACAGAGAGCATTCAGAGAAAAACTGTCAAACTGGCCAAAAATACACACAAAGGATGCTGATGGATTACGGACATTTGCTGATTTCCTAAACTCATGTCAGGAAGCCATGCCCTATGTTAAAGGTCTGGACATTTTGAATGACTGCGAGGAAAATCAGAAACTGATTCAAAGGCTACCTGACTGGACAGCATCATAGTGGAACAGAAAGGTTACTCAAGTCATGAGAAGCGAACAAGAATTTCCAAACTTCCAGCAGTTTGTTGATTTCATGTTAATGGAAGCAGAGATTGCCTGTAATCCTATTACTTCATTCCGTGCTCTCAACTCAGCAGAGTCGAACTCAGAGAAACATCATCTGAAAGAAGGGAGAAGTAAAAGTAGTGTTCTCCACACACATACAGCCACAGAGACTGAAATTAAAGGACAGGCAAAAACAAGTTTAAGGCCTCCATGTATGCTATGTCAAGACAGTAACCATGGTCTGCACTATTGTCCTGAGTTCAAAAATAAATCTCTGGACCAACGAAGGAAATATGCGAAGGAAAATAAACTGTGCTATGACTGTCTAAAGCCAGGCCATAATGCGAGGGACTGTCGTCACAGACACTCATGTGACAACTGCAAAGGAAAACATCCTACATCTCAATCAATCAATCAATCAATGTTTATGTATATAGCCCAATATCACAAATGTTACATTTGTCTCAGTGGACTTCACAGTTTGTACAGAATACCACACTGTCTCTTAATGTGAATACTGAGGAGCCATCTCAGAATACTTTAATGATTGTGCCAGTGTGGGTTTCTTCTGTCAGCAATCCAGGTATGGAAAGGCTTGTGTATGCGTGGCTCGACACTCAAAGTGATACGGTCTTCATTGAAAAGGAAGTAAGCAACAGCTTGCAAACAGAGACACATCCTGTGAGGCTGAAGCTCACAACGATGATTGGAAAGGATGTACAGATGTAGCACTCCAGATAGGACTCACATGGGTGTGTCCCAGTCAAAAGCCCAGCGGATCCCAGTGGCTGGGGGTGTTGCCAAATTGCTAGAGGGCGTTGCCAAATTTCCCCATTTGTTCAATTACAGGATTTAACCATTTCAAAAATACACAAAGACAACTGGGTGTTGTAGAACTTATTCTGTTTGCAATGTTTGCAGCTCTGCAGTTGTGTTTGCTGAATACTGTAGCATTTAATCACTTATTTGTTATGGTTTTCACAGGCTACTATAATGAAAACACATCAATATTTTAGATCAAATAAAGTATATTGTTTGCTTTATGCAGTATATTTTTTGTAATATTGTTGGGGTGTTTTTACACAGTACAGTAGATTGAAGTAAGTCAATTTATACATTAAGATAAGATAAGATGGACTTTTATTAATCCCCGTGGGGAAATTCAGTAGTTCAAACAGCAACAGGGTAAGAGTGAAAAACAGGATAGCACAGATTCACACAGATTAATAAAATCCAAAATAAGATGAGCGATAATAATAATAATAATGAGAAACTATGAAATAAGAAATGAATAAAACTAAAATATAATTATCATATCATATATTATAATGTATTGTATTATTAAGTAATATCATACATTAACCCCATTATAGCAGATGCCACATTGAATGGATGAACACATTTATGCATCAATGCTAAACAAAAATATAGTGTAGGATGTCCTCCTTTTAAAGTCGTCTGAGAGTGATGGCTAAAAATTATGGATTAATGAAAGTAGAAGTGGTGCTAAGTAGAATACAAATCAAGGGGCTTAAACTGTACTTTCGTGACTAGTTATACTTATATGACATAAGTTGAAGGCTATTTTGCAATAATTGCACGGATTTGACGTCATAAGTGTTAAAGATGCGTACTGTTGTTTGAAACAGGACACAAAACAAGAGAGCGGCGGTCACTTCGCAAGGGCGGAACTGCAGTTGAAGGCCGAAGGGGGTTTTGAAGTTTTACGTCAGTCTTTCCATTAAGGGGCGTTACAAGCATTTAAACTATAATAGCCTTGCCATAGCTGGAAAGCAAAAAATATTGTACTGCACAAAGCTCTACCTGACATCGCGGTTTAATACAAGTACACGGTGTTGATCAACAACCCTACACAGTTTCCGAGAAGATTTGGACAGCGTTGCAAGACAACAAAGAAGCGGCGAATAACGGCCATACTTCTCCCGGACACGGCCTTTATAGGGTTTGTAATTATTTTCACTTTTGTTACTTGTTATCTGAGATTGCAAATATTATTAATTATATAAATAAGGCAAACCTACATCACTAAAAACTGAAACAAGTCCTCGGTTCACTAGAAGCTCGTCTCTCGATTAGCGACAGGCTGGCCTGGATTGGGCCTTTATCATAAATAGTAGACCTTTAAAATTAGTAATTAAAATAAGTATACTCTGATGTATTAACATAAAAATGTTGAAACATAAATCTTTATTGA